GGTGTGATTACGATACAATACGAGGAATTTTTAACAATGGTGTTTAGTTTGCAGATGTGATACTCTTTTCCTGTTGTATGTACCCATAGAGCTGCCTTGTATGGAAGAAATGTTCACTTAAGCACATATCTATCCATGAAATCCATTTCATAATTGTCTATGAAAGTCACGTCATTTCAGATTACTGGTATGGTAGTGAAAATGTTTCGTTAGAGAGAGAAAGACAAGGAAAGAAAATAAATGGATTCGCTCTTCGATCGTCCACAATCTCACTTTCCGTACGTGTACAGCATTTATTCGAGAGAACATTGATGATCACTCAAGGATTAACAAACTGTGCCCGCCATTGAACATTGGTGCTATTCAACCAATAAAGCTAGTAAAATACTGTAGATTTTTAAAGGCAAATGTAAACGAACATTTCTTTCATATCTAACTACCTTATTTACTTCGACTGTTTCATGATCACTTTATAATCATTCCAGTTGTACACTGAATATGATTTGGAAGTATTTATTTTCCACCAATTTCTGAATTGTATAATTGGGTGACATATATTTTTCATCCTTGGAAGACATGAATATTTTCAGTTTTATAGCCAGCATTGTTCAACAATCTAAAAAAGTTCAGACGATAATTACCAGCGAAATTTCGAAGAAAATACTGGAAAGCTCGACTCACTGCACAGCGCTTTGAATAAATCCATCTGGTCCACATATTAGTACTCGTAGGGAATCACTGGGAGTTGGTAGCATATCGGCACTTATATGTCCAACGCGGCCAGTCCAGTTATCGGATGCACGGCTAAGAATATGCTCCACCTAAGGAATATATTTACAAATTCTGTTTTTTTTTCCACTGGCTTTTAGACATTGTCGATCCAAATATATAAGCCTAGGTACGAATACTGCATTCATAACAAAAGCGTTGAACACACCTGAACTCTGCTATCATTCCATTTTATTGGCATCCAGCCGTCGTCAACAATGTCCTTTTCAGTTTTGTTGAACAACAATAACGTTGTATTAGATCTGAACGCATAGATAAACTTAAGACCTTATGAG